ATTTGTGTGCTTCCGCCTAAATCCCTTAAAACCTCAAAAAAGCAGAAACTTTCCTCCCACTAGGCTGGCAGGCCGAGGAGGATCATTCATTCATTTTGTATGAATTGCCGGGAGCGTTTGACTCTGACTTTGGCTTCGGATTTAAACTGCTCTCGACCTTTGTCAAAAGTTTTGAGACCGAAAACTTTGTGGCAAAAATCAAACTGTGGATAATGATGAATGCGGCCAGCACTTTGTGGCCTAATGCCTGGCAGGGACCTCTCGGCCCTTGGCTCATGGCATGTGGGCCTGGTTTTGGTTCTGGTCCTGAATAATTAACGCTTCACTGGACAGCGCATCCCATCGATGTGCCCGGTTGTCATTGTGGGATGTCAATTTACATTTCGATTTTGCTGGTGGATTTCTATGCCTTTCCGTTTTTGTCAGCACTCAGTGACCCTCGCGTGTCGCTGGGCAATTTATGGATTTTTGCGAAATTTATTTCGGGTCGGGTCCACTGATTTGGGTTCGCCGAGATTTATGCTGCAGTTGTTTCCTGCTGCGTGCCGCCTTATTAAGGCTCATTAAGGCCAACTTTGGCGTTGAAGTTCTGGCGAAAAAAGTTCTCAAGTCCGTGGACAGGGTTGCAGGGGCGGGGCAATAAAATATAAATATCATCAGCATTTCTCATGAAGAAACCGGGGCGCGATTTACTGTCAACGGCAACAGCAAGGATGATTCCTAATAAACTCATAAATTTATTGAAAAATGGCAAATCGATTCCGTTCCTTTGCGGTCATTGTTATTACAAAACTGTCAGACCAGACCCCAGCCAGATTCCGGGCATAGGTTCCGGGTCCTAGTCCGGGTACCGGGGACAAGTGTAGGGCAAATTCATCCTCGTCCACGTTTGGGGCCAGCTTCGCAAATCCCCTTTGATAAAGTGCTTTCTTTCGGCAGACCTCCGGCATCCAGTATCCAGCAGGCAGCAGCCAGCAGCCAGTGACTGGCAAGTTGAAGCGCTTTTCCTCAAGTGTCGCATTATGGCCATTCTCGGAGGCAACGCCTCGATGGCTGCGCAGTTTCCAGCTCAGTTCGTTTTACTGGCGGATTTGGCAATGGGAGGCGACCAGATTTATGCAGCTGCTTTCATGCGTAATTATTTGCTGACATCCTAATAGTTTTTCCAAGTCCCTTTAGCCGCTTTGACTTTTATTTGTGAAACTTTACAGCCAAAATTGCTGACAATCGAATTGGCTCCGCTCGAAATTCGGGGGCACAAGCGAGCCGAGGAGTGTATTGCAAAGTAAGCTTCATAAATATTTCAGATCCTACACTTAGGCATAATTGTTTCGTGGAAGCTTCCCATTTTTATTTGCCTGTTTGTGATCCGCTGTCTGCCGCTGCCACCGCCACGTAGGTGGCATCTGCCATCTGTCACCCACACACATGCTGGTGCCCAGAATGTATGGGATTTATTTTTAATGGTCCCCCGTTTAACGACATTGCCAGAAGCGACATAAATAATACAAATAATAGGAAACGCAGAAATATAAAATTCGTTTTCCCTGTTCGAAGCCTCGTCTACCGCTCCTAGTGCCGCTCCTGTTGCCGCTCCTGGTTTTGGTTCTGGTTTTGGTTCTGGCACTGCCTCTCATGTAGCTCTGGCAATTTGTCGTGTGAGCAACTTTTTGATAGGCCGCACCACGCTTTGGCCGATAAACCCGGCGCTCTTCTTCGTTTCTCCATTTCGCTTTCCACTCAGCTTTCACTGCTTTTTCTCTCTCTCTCTCTCTCTCTGTCTCTTTAGGCCAAACCAAAAACAAGCTTAAGTCCTTGTCGTCCTTGGCAAGGCGACGCCACCTTGGGGCTTTTAAGTTTGACGCTCGTTTATAGACTTTGCACACTTTGCATTTACTTTACGGCGCCGCTGATGCGGCTGATAATAAGACCGCGCGGCGAGGTGCGGTGCGGTGCGGCGCGGCGCGGCGCGGCGCGGCGCGGCGTATGCGCAATGCCAGCAAAGCCACGGCCCAAAACACAAGGAAACCATGGAAAAAAAAACGAGAGTTGTGCAAAAGTTTTTACGGCCCGATACACACACGCCTCAGAGACACCTAGGCCAGCTTCAGTTCCAACCGAGATGGAGATGGAGATGGGGCCTGGGTCTGTGTCTGAGTCTGAGTCTTGGTCTGAATTCAGCTTCCGGCTCTCTAGCATTGCTTTTGTTTTTACCGAAGCTTGTTTTATAACTTTTTGATTGTCTTTGCGCCAAATTTGTGCAAAATTGTTCAAAGTCCTGTTCCGAATTCCGCTCACCTGCGGCTGGCTTCAGCAAATTGTGGGAATGGGGCAAAGCCCCATGCATTATGGCGCCGCTGGTCTGGCTGCCATGTACGAGTATAATATTTGGCTTAATCTGATTTCTGCCACTCAACTTAACTTCGCCTGCAAAGGCAGTGGGTGGGGGTCGAAACTTTGCCCGGGGCAAAAGCAACAATTTATGGACCGCTTACAATATTTATTTCGATTGGTAAGGACAAGTTTTCTCCGCGTTTTCTTTCGAGTGCGGAGTCCATTAAAGTGCAATGTCAAACGGCTGTGACTGTGGGTGCTGCTGTGGCTGTGGCTGTAGCTGGGGCGCCAAAGGGCAGACTGCAAAAAAAAAACTTTCATTAGATATGCCAAAAGCGTCTTTGCACAGCACGGCCCTGGTCCCGACGAGGAGGACGAGGAGGACGAGGAGCTGGCTTTGTCAAAGTCGTCACATGTCATATGGCAGACAGGCGAGGCAGGCAGGCAGGCAGTCAGGCAGTGAGGCAGTCGGCCAGGCACGGCCACGCAGTCAGTTAGTCTGCTGCAGGCTATAAGGGTCTATCTTGCTGCGTCTCTTTCTCCTCCGATCTGTCGTTGCTTGTCGCCTGGGTGATGTGTGTCCCACACACAGACATCCAAATCCACATCCACATCTACATCTACATTCACAATTACATCCACATCTCCGGCTAACCCGCTGGGCAGGAGCAGGAGCCCTGCCATTGAGGTTGCACCGAGTGCACACACTTGCCTTGTTATGGCCGTCCCAATCCCATTCGCCACAGCCACTGCTGGGGCTCACAATTATTACATTTGTATGGACATGTGGCCACATTAAGTATACGACGCGAAGGCCAGCCATTGCCTCAGGCTGTTGCCTCTCCTCTGCTGCTCTGCTGCTCTGCTGCTCTCCTACTCTGCTGTCATCATCGTCGTCGCTGAAGTGGCTGTTAGCCAGTGGCTTGACATAATATTTATTCAAATGTAAATTTCATGATGCAGTTTACTGTTTAGTTAGTCAAATTGATTTATGTTTTGCTTTAATTTCGAAATGAAATTCGCCATTCCATCAAGAGCAGCGCAAACAGTGAACGAGTTGGCTCATTCGATGCGGTGCGCGTATTCCCGTCACGTGCGCCTTTTGTTGTTTGTGTAAATAAGTGTTCGGCAGACTTCACAACTCAATTAAGCCGTCAGCCGAGTGGCCCCACTAACGAACCACACTCCACTCTACAACCAATGCGATCCCACCCAGCACTCACCCAGTAAATAATTCAATCAGAACAATTTCAGTACAGAAAATCAATAATAATCGCATCAAGTGTCTTCGGGCAGTTTCGATTCCACTTTCCGGAGCTGAAGCTGAAGCTGGAAGTGGAGTTGGAGTTGGAGTCGGAGATGGCAACGTGTTTAAATTCTTAAGAGCCCATACACTCAACCAACCACTCAACAGCCGGAGCTGCTAATCTTTGCGGGTCGGGGAAACTTTTCCTCTCACTGGCATCCCGACGGCGGTTGGACGGGCGGACGGTCGGGCGGGCGGGTGGATGGGGTCCATAAAGATTCATTTCGTTTAATGACTTGAAATTGATTTCACTGTGGCATCGGCGCATTTTATATGACGCCACTCCATGTATCCTTGCTCCTTTGCCGACGCTGTGTGCTGGGGCAAAAATGGCAAAAACGTGCTTTACGACAGGATGATCTCCTTCGGGTTGGAGCTGCTGATGATGCTGCCGCTCCTGCCGCGCTCCTTGGCGAATTAATTTTTCAGCAATTACGTTGCCAGCGACAACGTGTAATAGATACAAGCCAGGAGTAGGGAGTCAGCCAGTCAGCCAGTCAGGAGCCCGGAGCCAGTGGGGTCGGAGACTTTGAGCCACTCCGTAACCGCGCGCTGTTGTGTTTTATGAGCTGCTCATTGGGTTTTTGATTAACTTTAGCCCGAAATGAAGCTGTAATGAAATTTAATTTTGTGGCATACTTTCCGCCGCTCATTGGGTCGTTAATCAAATCAAATTGCCAAAGGCAATTCCCATTAGCAGGGACATTTCGCATTCATCGCGTTGCAAGTGTTGCAGGTGGCAAGCTAAACATTTACAATTTATTAAAATTAAACTTGTAGACTGGCAGAACACCCAAGGACACCCACGGCGTGGGCACTCCCTTCCATTTGCATTCGGACCGTGAAGTTACGAGTATGTAGGTATGTTTATGGACTAAATAATCGAAGCGTGCACCATGAATTATTCATGAGTCTTATGGAAAAGCAAGCAGCACCAGCAGCAGCAGCAGCCAGCGGTGGCAGGTGCTGAGAATGTGTCCGGCTGCTGCCCCTGCCCCACTTCATGCCACTACAAGTGCGTGACATTCGACTTTCTTCAGAGCCGAGGCTGCTGACATGCCTGTGCTCCATTTGCAATTAGCCAGCGGCATGTTTACTCTCAACTTTTTTGCATATGCAAACCCCTAGCTAAATGTCAAAATTTTAAAAATAAATTTGTTGGTCAAACTTTGAAAAACTATTCATAAAATATTGATTGGCCGACCCCAGGATGCTTGAGTTTTTGTGGTGCCCAACTAAAATTCTAGATAATCCATTCCGCAATCAAAGGCTAAAGGAACAAAACGAAAAACCATCCACAATCAGCCACAAACTGGGAAACCGAAACATGTTTGCGTTATTTCATTGGAAATGTACTTACTTATTGGCTGTGTATATAGTAATCCTAAAAGTAAAACGATTATCCAAGACCTATGCATATTTCTGTATTGGTTTGTTCCAGCTGAAATGGCAATCGTCGCACAAACTGCACCACCAACCTCTCTGCAATTGGGTTTAATTTCGGTTTGGGATGGGGTTCGGATTAGGTTTGCAATAGGATTGGCTTTGGATTTTCCTAGAAGCACACACAACTCTTTAAATACAACGAGTCGTTGGCCATAAAATATCGTATCGATCAGGCCACTGATTATCTTCACAAAATCACTAGCACAAAATCGGTGGCTTGTTTCTGGTTTCGTTTTGGGGTTCTACTTTGGCACCACCTCGCAAATATCGATCGCAGAGTTACATGTTTGATTCACCCATTGATGCACGCGCGCAGCTAATTAACTTTGGGGGACAATCGCATCGCGCATCCCCGGAGGAAAGGATTCGGATTCGGAGGGGGCAGATGTCCTGCCAGTCACTCACTCACTCACTCACTCACTCTCACTCTTCTGATTGATTTCGCACTCGGAAATTTCACTTTCGCACTACACTACACAACAGGCTTGCGGAGCTGTTGAGTGACTCCGGACTGAGGATGGATCCGGGGCTGGTTGCATGCGCGCACTTGTTGTGCTCGTCGCAAGCGTTTATCCTAGACTGAAGTGGCAGGCGGAACGGAACGCACTGCCAGCCTGGAAAATCGACGGGCTAAGGATACTCGCACACCGACGACGACGCCTCCACACCAGAGCCCCCAACGTGGGAGTCGAGCCGTTCCAGGGAAGTGCACACCCCACGAACCCGAGGCACGAACACGCACCAGGCACGAGAGAGCGAAAGCTCAGGACGAGAGAGCTTTTGCTCTCAGTTATCCGGCCAGTTGTTGCGCTACGGCAACAGTTCTTTGGCCTGTCCCCGCCCAACGCCGGTTCCAGGCGACCCCCCACCACTCTTCTTGACATACCACTGAATCAACAGGCTGCTAGATGGCCCAGGCCTCTCGGCCCTGTTCGACTGTGTGCGGCCAAAGCAGCCGCTTTAAATGCATTAAGTGTGGCCTGGTGCCGTTCCGTTGATGGCCACGTCCAGAAAATGGCTGTGTATTTTATAATTAGTTAAGCAGTGGACTTTTATGGCTCTCTCAATTGTGCAGCACACATCTAATCATGGTTTATTTTGCATTTGATAAGATTCCTTATTCCCGAATCATAAAACTGGGGATTGGATTCGATTCGATTCCATTCCACTTCTCTGGCTTACCTTGCATATCGCTTCTGTTCTCGGTCATCTTCTAGTTCTAGCTATAAATACTATAATTTTTATATCCACAATAACGAATTAAATTTCACTCACTGCTCGTTTAGCAGACCATGAACCTTATTTTGTAGTCAACTGCTTCCGCAGTCCTTGATTGTGTTCTTCCGCCACATTATTGTTGCTGTGCAGGACCTTTGACAGCCCATTACTCATTCCCACTAATAGATGCTTGGATCTGTTGACAGGTCCTGCCTACGGAACTGCCTCAAGCCCTGCCACTGCCACTGTCTCGAGATGTTTCGCGTAACATTCAAGTTTTGATGGGACAAATGAGCACGAAATTATTTATGCTAATTAACCATTTAAGACGTCCCACATACAGACCCACGCGTATGGCCTTAGATCCGCAGATCCATCTCCGGCACGTGTTGTACCTGGCGGCGGTTTCCGTTTTATTAGATTTCTACTTTTTAAATTAACGACAGAGCTCCGCCATGGCGTCTGGCCGTAAACTTTTATGCCCGGCTTAACCGCAAACACACACACACACACACACACACACACACAGACAGAAAAAGTCTGACCCGGACGAGGATTGGCAGTGGCAGTACGACCTTTCGCATATCCCGCTGCATGGTCATTTAATTTTCGCCGCGTCTGTCCACTTTTAATTACAAACAATCAAATCTGTTTGCTTTTGTTTCCTTTTTTCCGCGACGACAGCAAACATCAGCCCCACCCCTGTTATGGTCGTAGTCCAAGCTGTGGTCGGACTGGATGCCGGACATGGGCCACATCATTGTCATAGCTTCGGTGACAAGTGAGCAGCAAGGTCTCCGGACAAGGTTTCTGCATTGTGCACTGACCAGGCCAAAGCCGCTCAACGACCAGTGTGTCAGTGTGTCTGCGCGTGTAGCGTTCGGGCCAGGCTGTCATCATTAGGGACCACAACAGAAAAGTTAACATTGCGCTAAATGGGAACACGGTCGGTCAGTGCTCGGTCTGGATCCCGGTCCCTGCCTTCCTTCCCATCCTTTCTGCCCACTTTCTGTTTGTTTTTGTATGCTTGTGTTTCTGACATATATTTTGTCCAACGTATTAAGTCATAAAAGGCGTGGCCCCTGCTAATTTGTGAAATAATTTAGACGACCTATCATGAGAGGAAACTAACCTAAGAAATCATCCAATAAACCAACAAGAATTAATCTCGGTTTAGCCAGGATTTTCTCTAAAACCTGACTCTCATCCGTGGCTGATCACTCCCTTTTGTATTTTTGGCTTAACTAATTGGCGAATGCTGTTTAAAGAAGTGAAATCCATGAAACGGATTACCCTACGCTATGCATAAATCTGGAAATAAAATAGGAAAACAAATCATTTCACAAGCCCTGTCAGCACTCGGCCAGGGCCATCCCATCCCGCACACGCTGCACAAATATGAGTTTCCTGTTAGTTTTCCGTCCGCACGGAGCACGGAGCATGCAAAATGGGAAATGGAATAAATGGCAACAGTCAAATATTTATTCCTATTGCCATTTCATATTTGCTTATGCAAATGCGTGGAAGGTTTTGATGGGTGAGTAATTTTGTGTTGAGTGATTTTAGCTGTCCTGCAATTAAAATGCAACTAAAAACCATTTTAATTACAAAAACTTCCACCCCTCTTGGATACGAGTATCAATGCGGAAAATGCTGCTGATGCGTTCGAATGGTGTCTCCATTTGGGATTTCTGTGGAATTTTACCGAGTGTGAAGCTGAAAGAACACCAAAATTTGGAAGTATTTTGGGGCGGGGGACATTGCACGCGCTGAGCTGGAAACGTCGTGCCTCGGGCACTGGGGGCGTAATACCCCATTGGCTGCGGGGCCATGAGAAATTTGTCCCAATAAAAAAGCAAGCGCCAGGCATGCCCCCAAGCAATTTCCAGCGCTCAGCCATATAGAGACCGTGCCTCAACGAGTATTTGGTTAGGATATGTAGAAGGCGATGCAAGCCCGCCACAGCAGAGGCGGCACACAAAAGCTCGGCCAGCTCAGGCTTTTTGGGGTCTCACTCGCTTAGTCGAGCAAAGCAACGGGCACAACGGCAAACAAAGCTCATTTACACGGGAAGTAGCCTAAGTGCAAAAACCATTTAAATGCAAATTAAGCACAAAGTGAAAACATGTGAACAAAGCGCCAACACACACACACACACTGCCATACGCACGCACGCACGCACACACACTGGCATGCACGTGGCAGGCCACATACTCGAATTCGGTGGCTTCGACGTAGCCTCTGGCTTTGCCCCAGCTTTGGGGCTGCTCTAAATGTAAAATAGTTTAGCGCTGCCAGCGCAACAACAAATGTTTTCGCCTGCGCCTTCACCACCGCCATCGCCATTGCCTCTGTCCAGGTACTGATTTGAATAAATTCATATGCATAAATGGGGCACAGTCTCAGTCTCTGCCGTGGAATACTACCACTACCATTTGGTAGTGGAAGTTTAAGTGGAAGTCAACTGCAGCTGACAAAATCAACAACATGCCGCTTGCCAGTAATTGAGTCAAAGATCCAGGTCTAAAGATACGAGGTATGCCCCGTACAGAACCACCGTTGGTCAAGTCCATCCGTCCGTCCAGAAAACTTCACGAGCAATTTACTCGCTGCGTATCAGGGCCCGTGCTAATGAAGTTACCTCCGTCCAGTGGCAGCAGTAGTTGACTTTGCATTGGGCGTTGGAGTGGGAGTTGGAGTTGGAGCTGGAGTCGTCGGTCAGTTGTAGGTGCATTAAAGCGAGCACCCGGATCCGGCCATCGCACACCAGTTGAACGACTGAACGGCTGGATGGGCAGCTGGCCACGTCCAGGAAATAGAATGGAATGGAATGGAATGGGGGGTATGCCATGCGATAGTCTTTGATTATATCACACCAGACGCAATCCGGACTCTGTCTGTGGGCGCAATGCGAGTGTACTGCGTGAACCCGATGCCAGAGTTGTCCGAGTGTTTGCTTTATTTATGTGCCCACACAACAAACAGCCGAACACCCGGACACCGCTCCCCCGGGGTGCTGCTGGCAGTGAGTGCAACGCCCAGCTGCTGCAAATTGAGCAGCCAGCCGCAATTATTTCTACACTGCAGCGGTGGGGGGAGGAGGAGAGTCAAGGGTCAAGAGTTGTTTAAACACATACCCCAAATTGAACTCTATTGCATTTGCCATTTTCACCGGACCAGGACTACATTCGAGTACTTTTTCGAGTGCTTTATTATTATGCATGATTATCACTGCTCTATGCGTGACTATTTGTGTCGAGGGAGCTGGTACATTAAATATATTAATTTTCAAATCAATTTATTGATTGCTCGCCAGAGCAACACTTTCCTATTAAAACACATCAAATAATATCCCCCTTAAATCCATATGAACAGCAATCTCAGATCCATCAAATTCTATAAAGCTGTGATAAATCAAGCCGTTCGGTGTAGCACAGAATCGTGCTCATGATGCTTCACTCGACATTAGCTTGTTGATTTTGGGACCGTTTCGTTTGATGGCTTCATTCTTGTAAAATCTTATTAACTTTCATTGTTGTTGGCACTGCCACTGGCCCTGGCACTGGCACTGCTGCTGCCGCTATGTATCAACTGTCAGGATAAAGTTTTGTCTCCCACGTTCTGCTGCCAAGTCATCAGAGTACGACCAGAGCAGACCCACATTCGGGGGCCGTCCGCAATGCCCGACCTCATCATTGTGCTTACAGTTCATTTGATATTAATATAGACGCTCTCTGGTCAGTGGCTGCTGCTCTGATGTTGCCGCTACATATGTTTTCATTTGTTTGACGCTGATGATGACAACCCTCATCAAAAGTTTGCACCGATGGCCGCTCGATTGCCCGGGCGAGTGGTCAGCGGCTGTTGACAGGCCACTTTGACATCGTGTGGGTCCGGGGTCCATGGGTCCGTGGCTCCTGTGGCAACTGTACGTGTGGGAGACTGTATGTATGTGTTTTGGAGTGTGCGAGGGTCCTGACAGTGATACATAATTAAAAAGTAGAGGCAAGCGGGTGACTGAGATAACCATTTTGGGGGGAGGGAGGATGGAGATCCCAGGACAAAGGCTTGGACAACTTTTGATGCCACTCACAGATACACATATGTATTTATGTACAGACACACACACACACACACACACAATTTAACTTAATGGCTAAAAGGGACAAAAGTTTGTGATTTTCCACATAAAAGTAAACAAGTTGCTTCCAGGTAATTTATTAAGCTTCGGCCCCCTCCCTCTGCCACTGTAACACAAATTGGTACAATTTTCATGGCCTGCAGAGAAGTCAAGCAAAATGAAGCAATTGAAAAAGGCAGGCAGAAAGAAAAAACATAAAGCAGAAAGCAGATAAAGGTGC